TGCTCTAAAGGCTATTGATAATAACTAAAATCGCAAATGTATCAACCGTGTAATGCCACAAAGTTTAAACAGGGTATGTTTTGTAATGCACTGAAGTTCATGAACACGATCATCAAGCAAAAATCAAGTTTACCAAGGAAACTGCTTTGCATGCATTGTCCAGGTCCCTTCGAAAGGACACTGTGGATACTCACATTCCAGTGATCGTCCAGCGCGCCCACGAATCCAAACGTTCCCACGTTGATCCCCACCGCAAGTTCCAAGTTGCAGAATTGGTGAAAGTTCTCCACATCACAGGACAACACGTAAGGATATGAACATGGACGTGATGTCTGCCCCAATAAAGACGACGAACTTTTGTTGACAACAAGCCAGGCATGGCGTCATGCGACCAATTAATGACCTGAAAGTTGTTGTAGAGCACCTGATGTGGGTAAGGCATATACTCGCTACCCGGAAAAGTAACCAGAATTTTTGCCGGCCAGCCCGGCACAAAAAATTCCGGTTACTTTTCCGGGTAGCGAGTACATGCTCTGAGCCATAAGCACGTTGGCCGATGCAAGGTTGGAGAATGCCAGGAGTAGGTAAATCGGAGAGTGCATGTCTTTGCTAAACACTTCATTATAATCTGATAAACAAGAGCACCTTTATTCATGCGCCAAGGTATAATAGTCTGCAGAGAAGACAATTTGAGTGAAAGGAGGTTCTGTCTAAGTGCTTCATCACACAATGGTAAACACCAAGTTGGCAAAGAGGACAACGACGCAGGATATATATCAGAAATAGTACTCATGTTCTGTTAATTGTATGGATCTAAATCCAATGACTGATGAAAACGATGGGGGCAGACGAAGAGCAAGCGGATGTAAAAATCAAATATATCAATTGAGAGACCGTGAGAAAAAAATGTAAAGTTTCAGTTCCATTTTGTCTGATCATTGTTGACAGAACCCTCCCTTCCCTTTGGTCAGTGTCGGGGATTCAAGTTCAAAAAGTAACCACTCCCAGCTATTTTGAAAAGCGCTGCCATTTAAAGTATAGGATCCGAGTTTGTATCTTGAAAATACAGGCATACCTCCATCAGCCATGATACTAGCCTGCCTCCTCTGAGTTGCCTCCAGTGGCTCATGGGATCTTAGATGTTTTCTTCTGGTTTTGCATTCCACGCTCTTAGCTTTCCAATCCTATATATCAGATTAAGTATAATCTTCCAATGCCAATACATACCGTAACATACGTCGTCTGACGTCCAGGCTGTTTCACCCTACTACCAGTGAGGAACACCAGAGTAATGTTTGTCAGAGGTTTCCTAACATAAACGGGCCTCCCCCACCAGTATTCGGGGAACGTGGAAAAGATAGACTTGTCCAAATACATGTGACAGTGAAGATAGCAGACCTCCTCCTTCTTATAATGAGGTCTGGGGACACAGATTGAATCGTAGGAGTTGGCAGACATCAGAAGTCAAAGCGAATTTTATTTTCTTTAGACTGGACATTCGAACTCTCCCTGGTATGGTAGAGAGTGTAAGTATATCGAATACAAAACTCGTCAAACAAAATTGGCTGCAGCTTGGTTTTTATATCGGGCGGCAATCTCCTCCTTAGCCTCTAGTGGCTTCTCTCTTAGGCGTCTCAACAAGCAACAGAGGTTGCACGAACCTCACTGGACATGTTCTTTGCCAATTCCCCTTTTTTGGAATTTTGAAGCCATCTCGCATCGAGGCCCTCTGGTTAAATTTATATTATAAATTGACGAAGGTAAATATGCATGTTACTCTATAGAGCTGTGCAAGGAAAACCAATTTCTTTTATTAAAAAGGTACTTTCATTCAGAGTAATAGAACGCAACTGAAAAATCAGACCCTCAATGAAGTCAAAGTTTCGACGGAATAGAGAGTACTCCCAACATTCGGCTGTGACGTCTAGTAGAAACCCATTGAAATATGGGCTGAAAAGAAGCTGGAAACCCCTTCAGGTGGGTTCGGTGTCATCAAAGCTGTAGAGGAGTCGAAGTAATTATGGGAAGAAGAGGTGGAGGGTGTTCAAGTTGGGATGTTGCAATGTGCTCAGAGATGGCGGTAAGCCTCAACTGCTTCGTGGGACACGTATCTATGAGGAGTACTTCTCAGAATCTTACAAACATAATTTAAAAGACTACTTGCTTACCGCCACAACAATTCAAAGACTCGGAAATGGTGGGAGAAAGTTCTATCAGTGTTTGTGCGCTTGAAATCAACAAAGAGCGAATCTTGCTCAATTACGAATCCTGAAGGCCCCATTATCACAATAAACGGGATCGGAGCCGCATTGTCGCTGATTTCGAACCAAAACTTGGAAATGAAGAAGTAGGCATTGATAGTCGCGTTGAAAAGGTATTGTTCAGCGGTAACGGCTTGCGCTAGGGGACTGAATGTGACTGTCCGGTGCTGGATATACCAGGAGCATCCGGTTGATGGACAGAAGGATCCCTGTCGGTCTGCCCACAGCATAGTCACCGTGGAGCTCGCGCTCGGGTTGAGAACCTATGGATTTATCTTATTATTAATCACCTGGATATTGTGACAGACACATACTCGTAAGGTGATTATCATAATGAAGGTCCATTTTGGTATGATAGCAAGGGATCGGAGAGACATAATTAAACGGC